CTGTTGGATTCCCTGGAATTGGAGTTACAGACAGTTGTTAGCTGCCATGTGGGTGCTGGGATTCGAATCTGGGTCTTCTGTTAAGAACAGCCAGTGTTCTTAACTGCTGAGGTATTGCTCCAGCACCTAGACTATAGAATTCTTAAGAATATATTGATAAAAGATGAGAAGTTGGCCGGGCGTGGTGGTGCATGCCTTTAATCCCAGCACTCAGGAGGCAGAGGCAGGAGGATCTCTGTGGGTTCAAGGCCAGCCTGGTCTACATAGTGAGTTCCAGGACAGCTGGGGCTACAGGGAGACCCTATCTCAAAAGGACAAATATATATATATATAAACTATTTAAAAAAATAGATGAGAAGTTGGAAGTAAAAATTTACAATAGCTGAAAGTTTCATGGATCTCTGTAGGAAAGCCACAGAGAAGAGCTTGGTACCTCCGCAGCACGTGGGGCTGCCTTTGTTGGAGGGAGCCATGCATATGTAGGGGCTGATCAGAGAAGGCACCTGCTGCCTTCTAGTTTCAGATGTTTACTAGCCCTGCTCCTTAATAGGACCCCAGAGACCAGTGGGATAGGGCCTAAGTAGGTACACATTGGCAAGGAGAGAGGAAGAGAGAGGAGGAGAATAGAGGGGGGAGGAAATTTGAGCTCACAAAAGATCAATTTCTTACTTCATTAGAGTTCAGCTAATCAAAATAACACATGATTGTTTAACTAATTTCTTCTCTGACCAGAAAGAGTTATTTTCTCTGTAATGTTCTCATTGTGAAAAGAAAATGGCTGTTTTGGTTCCCTTTTTGTAGTTTCCATCCCATCCTCCCAATATTCAGCCTCTTTGGTTGTTAATGTGGCTTGAGAAGGAAGCGACCTTGTGTGGCAGGCTGTGAAACTTTTGCCTCCTGCAGGAAATGAAGTATTACGCAGATTGGGCCAGGAAATCAACAGAGCCAACCCTGTAAATATATGGCTGTTCCTGGCCCTTTGCAGCTCACTCCTCCCTCTTCTGGCTCATTCTCCTAGAGTGCAGAGGTCAAAGGGAGCTTCACACAAGACACTGGCAGGGCTCAGCTAAACATTTCAGGGGAATAAAGATATTCAAATGGGAGACTAACTTCATAATTATTTGCATTCTAAATTGCATAGTCTGTGCTTTTCATTCCAAACAATTCTCCATACAACCCCCCCCCCAGAAAGTAGGTCTTTCACATTTGATTTTCTTATAATTAAATCAGAAATAAAGTTTGATATTCTCTTTTAACATAATCACTGAGCATAAACATCTATAACCAGTAACTAATGAACGTCTTGCACTATAAGCACATTCTGAATATATAAGTCAATGATCTTTTAAACAAATGTAGAAATATAAATTCAATCTGTGGAACAGGTTTTGATCTTGAACTATATTAATTGCTGTGCATTTATAGTTTCCCCTTGCAAAGCAAAGTTAGTTTTGAAATTTCCTTTGAGTGTCTATCTTCCCAAGTTTGTTTCTTGTAAGGCTTTTCTTCCAGATATAGATTTGAATGTTTTAGATGCTGCCATTTGAATTTGAAAGTAGTTGAAATCATGGAGTTTTTGGCCAACATAATCAGGACACCTACCATAAGGGGATGTATAGTACAAAATTTTATCTTCAGCAGGAAGAAGCCCCCTAAGGCAGGCCAGACCTTGACTGTGCATTCAGCTTCTAAGCTGGAAGTTTATGTGGCACTTTCATGACTAATTGGTCATCTTGCAAATGCCAATTTTCTACTCATTAGGAGTAAGGACATCTATTTTTGCAACTCAGATGGAAAAGATTTCCGATTTAATCACTTGTCTGCTCTAAAACTTGTCAATTGGATAATCTCACTTCTTTCCAGTGATGTCCATATTCTCAAGTGAGGTGAAAAGAATATCAGACTCCAAGGCCCAGTGTTGAGAGTTCAGGCCATGGTGAACTTGATAAGAAATAATACTGCCAAGTAAACCAGAAGATAGTTTGTGTGTTTTAGGGGAAGTTCAAATGAACATGAAATATTTCCAGAACATACTCTTTTGCAATCTGTATTTCATGTTTTCTCAAGTGCCCACTCTCAGAGAAAAACAGAAAAATATTACCAGTTGTGTGAAGGGGGAAAATGTTACTCATTTTTGCAAAGCACAGTTCAGTAACTCTCTTACAAAGACACGTTATGCAAATCTCTCTAAAATGTGAAAATGTAGTGGCAAACACCTTCCTAAACAAGGTTCAAAGTAATCTGGGAGGTAAAGTAATCAGAGGTAGCTTTTCAGATGGCTGCTTTACCCAGTCACTTGTCCTGTGGAAAGATTTAAGAGGCTCATTCTGGGATATTCATGGTCACGAGTTACATGGAAGCCTGGACCTTGAACACTTCATGTTTTACACTGAACTTCACTGGACCATGAAATCCTTAACATCTTTCAGCAAGATTATACATTGCAATACAAGCCTGTGAAATTACTATGCTGCCTATTTAAAATATTTTTTTTGCAAAAATTTATTGAATTTTAAATTTGTTGACTCAATATTGAGAACTCAGTTGTAGTCTGAATTTTGTGGAGATTATCTTAGAAATCCTGGCAACGAATTTGCCAATCTACCCTTTGTGAGAAACATGGGTTTTGATTTGGTTATTTATTTGGTTCAACAAATGTTTTATCAGTAATTGTTACACAGAACATTTAAGTTTGAATTTTCACATAATTTGGAGACATTTTTAGAGCTGGATCCCTTGCAGTTGTTAATGCTTCCATTTGAATTGAACACTTTCATATATGGCTTATAGTTTACAAAATTAGTTTGGTTATCTTTTTTTCTATGGATTTGAGTTCAGCTCTGAAAACTTTTTATTGAATGAAAAATTGTGCTTATGTAAGTAGCTCCAAATAAAAACAAAGTAAATACTTAAAACTTGCCTAGTGATGGCTTGTTGTAATAGCATGTTGAGTTCTTAAAGTTCTTTTTTTTGTTTTTTAAATATTTTTATTTTATGTGTATGTGTATATTGTCTGCATGTAGATAAGTGCACCTGTGTTGTGCAATGCCTGCAGAGGTCAGAAGAGGCTGTCAGATCCTGGAACTGTTTTTGTTTTTTAAATATTTTTATTTTATGTGTATGTGTATATTGTCTGCATGTAGATAAGTGCACCTGTGTTGTGCAATGCCTGCAGAGGTCAGAAGAGGCTGTCAGATCCCCTGGAACTGGAGTCACGGATAGTTGTTAGCTGCCATGTGGGTGCTGGGATTCAAACCCGGGTTTTCTGCAAGAACAGCCAGCATTCTTAACTTCTGAGCCATCTCTCCAGCCCCGAGTTCTTAAAGTTCTTAAAACCAATACCACTCCCAATGCTTGACACATTCTGTGAAGCCAGCTTTGAGACTGTTAAGTGTGCGCACCTTCATATCCCTTCATTCATAAGTGAATGACCATCAAAGCAGTGAGATCCGCAGTGCAATGTAGCTAACAGCTACATTTGATTTTTCATAAGCTTTTTTTTTCTTTGAACCAGTATTTAGGCTGATTTCTTTTATGTGATGGAGGACAGTTACATAATATTTAGGGCTACTTTTACTGAAAACATGCTTAAGAGCAAACTTTTTCAAGTCATCTTAAAGATTAAGCATTCCATCCACATTACCAGCAAAAATTGTGGATTCAAAGATAGGGTTTGGGGAGGAAAATGTGAGGTTGCCATTTACTAGACACATACCTATAGTCAAGCAGGGCTCAATACTTACATGGCAGAAAACTTTGCAAACAATGCAATTTATGTATAATACTTTTTGGCCATAGCGTTTTCAAAAAAGCTATACCATATTCTGATCAAACTCCTGGAAACAAAATCTCTAGAATTTAATTTTTATCCTCTTTTGATGTAAAGGGTCTCTCTCTGCTTGTTAAGGATACTGAACTATGGGAAAAAATGTTTGCTGACTTAGATCTCTCTGGGTGCTGGGTGTGCACATGCTTGCCTCCCTTGGTCCCTTCATTTTGGATTATTTCACTGTATGTTATCTCATTCATCATGAGGATCTGAGGGGGAACTTAAGTAGGTTCTGCTGGCTGATACTTATCTGTACAATTATCATCCTGTACCTACACAATGCTTCCACCAGCAACAACCACTTGTAGCCTATTAGAAATAGCTTAAATAACAAACTCCTACAAAGTTCTTGGCTCTATGACTTCTACAGTTTTAAAGTCAAGGACACATCACTTGTCTTCCACCTACCACTCAGGCCCCATAAATCCAGACACTTTGCTAAGAATCACCCGACAAGCTACTTGAGGCAAGCTTTGGCTTAAACTGTCTGGTCAGTGAGATTTATAATTCTTTCATCTCTAATTATTATGTACAAATGAGCTGCACCATTGAGCTGAAATATTTCATTTGGATCAAAGCCATAATAAATACTGTGGAACCAGCATTTAAAACTTTACTGGGGGTGAAAATGAGTTATGTATTTTCACTGCTAAGGATGAATTCTTAGTACAATTAGGGATCTTCTTTCTCTACATTCTTATTCACGCATACAATAATATGCAAAATCTACTTCATGGTGAACTGAAGCAACTATCTGTACAGTTCATCAGAAAAAATGAAATGGAGAGGCAGAGTACTGTATGAATTATCTGAACAAATGCTTCAGTTTTTACATTGGAATAAAATACTAAAATCCCATTCATTAACAGATGTCTATTTGCTAATTTTATTCTTTTGGGGGAACGTTTAATTGTCTGGCCATGTGGAATCTGCTACATATCATAACCTTCTCTTAAGTGTATATAAATCATCTGCCTCTACATATTCCTCAATTTCCTTATTGAAGGAATAATGCCTAACTCAATTCTATGCATCAATATCCACATTATATTTTGACTTTTCATTCAGGAAACATTTGCGCTATCTTCATATAAACAAATCATACAAACAAATTCCTTTACTTTTCCAGTAAGTGTTGAAGTAAAGGATAGAAATGAAAGGGTAGAAACTGTACATGAAAAGATGTATTTTTATAAATTAAATGTGAAGACGTGCCAAATTAAGGGGCATTTATATACATCTTTATGGCAACTTTTCCCATTACACAAACAGCTCAAGTACTTTACAAAAACATTAAGTGATAAATTCACTTGAGAATAAATGTAACAATGTGCATGTGCACACACACATATACACACAGATGCTAAGTTTACAAATGTGTCCGCTATCTGGTGGCCACTGCTGAATTAAGAATAGTAGATTGCTAAGAGTAACCCCAGATTTCAATAATATTTATACATAAATTGTGCATTTATAAAAACCTTACAAATAATTCTATTTTCCCAGGAAGATATTGTAGGTAACAATTTAACACACATAGTAAGAAAACATCTTAAATTCTTAAAATCACAGTTAAGATAAACAATTCCATAACCTTATGGCTAACATGAATCAAGAATTCTATTTATAAAGACTTCCCCATTTTCATGTTTGAAACAATAACATGTTCTTTAATTTATTCATCCTAACATATAGTTCTTAAGTTTTTAATTGCCTTAATGCAAGGAAAGTAGAACATTTTGAAAACTGATCTGATACAAATCCATACACAAATTTCCATCAGTACATTATATTAAGAAAATCTCCAAGGTATCGCAAAATTTAGATTTTTTTTCTCAAATTATGTAAACTGGTCAGATTATCTGAATTGTTGTTTTCTAGCAAATAGATGGATTATTATATTTAAATGAGCAATTTTACCAAGATGTGATATAAATTTAGTCTACAACATTTTGCATGGAGTTAGAGAATGCTGTGAGGGATCCAAGTCTCACACTCATGCACTGAGCTCACGTATCCCCAAGTGGGTTATAACACTAATTGGGAACAACTTATTCATATCTTTTTTTTTCTGGAAAGATTAATACTTACCTTTGTCATTTTAACATCCTATCTTGTTTTTGAAATGAAATGCAAAGTATTTAGAAGCAGGCCATAACAATCCAATGATGGGGATAATCAAAATGAATCATTTATCCTGATAATATCCAAAACGTCTACAGAGAAGATACACGACAGCTGTATGCATGAAAACACCTAGTCCCAGTTTAAATTTTGCAACATTATACATAGTACTGTATTTCAGTTTAAAAGATGTAGACAGCAAAAATATTCACATTTAAAGTTCTTACAGAAATTATTCTTCCATTCAAGAAAACTAATTATGCTAAGTTAACAAAGGAAACTTAACAGAGGAAATTCTCCTTGGGAGACTTATTCAGCTGAATATTTCTCTTTATAATACAGTTTAGGGAAGTAATTAGAGGTCTCAGGTGTGTTTTCCACCTGTAGGTCATCCTTTCCAAATGAATTACAGTTCATGGGTAAAGTTAATGCTTTTGGTGAAATAAATTAATAATGTCAATCCAACTTCTTACAAACAAATGTGTGCATCAGTATAATTACTGCGTGGTTCCTGGCAAAGTACAATGTTGACACACTAGTCTGGGTCCAGGAGACCCCTCTTGCTCATGTTGTATTACTCTCTCCATCCCAAATGACTTTTATCTGTGATTTTACCATTGAAATGAAAATCAGTGAAAGAATTATGCTTAATAGTTATTACTACTGCTATAAAATAGCATGCATCATAGTAGGAGTGGTATTTGTGTTGTTTGTTGGTTCATTTGCTTTGAGGGGAATTTTTTGTTATCATCCCTAACACATATGCACAGGTACACACACATTTAGTATGCAAAATCAAAGTGGTATTAATAGTGGTTCACAACTCTTTGACTATTCCAGTATTTCTCAAGGCATGTTTCCCAGATTGAGGGAGACTGTTAGAAATGCTTAAAATTAGGTACCATTGCTTTAAGCAAACACAGGCCTGTGCTTCTCACGACAAACAAAATTTAGTCCACTAGGAAGGAAAAATACAAATAAAACTCATCTACTTTTGGCAAAATATGTGACAACTGTCTCCCCACAGTGATCTTCTCCCACTTCAGGTCTGTATTAATGGACTTCCTGTTTCAACTAGTAGTTTTCAAGGAAAGAAAACAACAGCACACAAATCATGAAAAAAGAAACAGCATCAAGGGAGCATTTCAATGTCAAGTAGCTATGATTTGTGGTACTGTTTACAATGAATAGTAATGATCAAGAAATTAAACTGAAATTATTTCCCCTGGGAAACTACCATTAGTACTATATACCATGTGGAGGAGAAAACTGTAAGGGCTGAGAAGGGAAAGATGTTCAGCCTGCATTTTATCTTCTGGAGGATGCAGGGATGGGAGGCAGGCTTGGAGAAGGCCAGGGAAGAAGCCAATAAGCTTCAGAGCATTGCGAACTGCAAAACTCTGCCTGCTGAAGAACAGTTCCAAGTGCTGATCTGCACTCCCGGAGTGATATGAAAAAAAGGTATAGATGGGCTGTGGGCCTTACTCATACCTCAAACTGAACTTACTGATTTTCACCTGCTGCCTTTAAAACTGAAGAGAATTTAATTGAATGACTCTCTGAAGTGCAGTGGAGCTCAGATATCTTAGAGAAGCATAACAATAGAAATGGGAGAAATTTTCTCTATTTTATTCCTGAAGAGAATGGGATGCTTTCACACTTTCCACAATGGGAGGGGGGGGACACAGAATTGATTTGTTAGTCTTTTGGTAATAGGGAAATGTTAACTTCGGATTTTTAACTGTAAAATTCTTGTTCACCAGCAACTGAGCGCAAACTGTAACAGGATTTTTCAAGGACTGTTGATTCGCCCATCACATTTGTGGTACTACTGCCAGACCAGTGCACCCCTCAGCCTTTGTTCAGATGGGCAACGTTGCTGTAAGAAAGACAGCTGGCTAAGAATCATACACAACTCAGAATGATATATATTTTCAACTTCAGTGAGTTAGGCACAATACAAAGCAGAGTAACAAGAATTAATGTTTTTTACCTACTACTAATTCTCACATTCACACGTGCATTTCATGTTCAATGTTGGCAAGCATTGCTGACATCATTAGTATGAGGTGAAATGTGTAAAAATAACCCTAAGGACAGGCAGCCTATGCATCCAGACAGCACGAATGCACAGATACTGATGAATGCAGGAGAAAGGGGTTAAGTGTTCTTATCAGAAAAACAGTAAGGTTAAATAACTAATATATAAACAAAAATTAATGTTCAGATACTATTTTCCTTTAGGTACACGAGAAGATTATTTGGATCTAAAAATTAAGCATTCTCATATTTTGACATTCTTGGACACTGCTTTATCTTAAAAAATAATTTTTAAGTACTTCAGGAATTTTAAAATTGGAACTAGGTATTTTTAATCTGGGCTCCAAGAAAGAAAATTTATGTAAATTGATTGCTGCATCTTGAAAATAAGAAAAAAAAAACCACTGTACTTATTTTTTTTAACTAAACAGGTTAGAAGTGGCCCATAATGCCATTTATATTCTAGAACTACCCCAAAATAAGGGCAAATAAAATGAGGATCATGATTTCTTTGTGATAATAAACAGCGCCTTCTCAGAAGGTGAATGAAAGAAACTCAAGATAGGTAATGATGGAGAAAAGAGTCAACAAAATATTTAAAACTTTCTGCATTATAAGATTAAGCTTAATGAAAAGAGTTAATTTTTGTACAATGACCATAAAAAGTGAAAGTTACAATTATTCTTGATAATTCAGGTGAAGGTACACAGTGCCACCTTCAAGTTACCTTGGCTTGAGGTAAAGACCTTTGGGGTTGAACTCTGAGGGATAGGTCTCAGTAGCTTGAGAGCACATGGCAGTTCTCTGGTACAGCCCTAGGCTTCTAGCAGTGGGCTATGAACTTTATTTTAGTGACTCACTTTATTATTGTCTAGATCTGCAGCATAAATCTAATTCAGCTTCTTTCTCCCCTGCAGTTCTTCCCAGTATTCCTGTCATGTACAGTGAAAAGAAACCTTTATTTCCAGAAAGAATAATCATTATGATTGAAGAGAAATAAATTGTTCTGAACCAAGAGCTAGCAGATATACTAAAAAAATTCACTTAGAGGCTAGCATCCTAAAGGAAAGAGAAGAGTCCTCTCACATGGGATTAAACAGTGCCTTTTCAGTCTCTAGGGTTTAGATCTGTGGTTGCTTTTGACTAGTGGTTATTTGTCTCACAATTGTAACAGAAGGATCACAGCTACCTTTAGAGTCTACAATTAAAACTCTTCGTACTTTTATGATTTTCGTGTTTGGATGATTAAAACTAACTCAAAAGGTCTGGGAAGTGTTAAACAGTAAGGTGTTTTTTATAAGGGAAATAATAAAAAAATATTTCCTTACTGCCTTTTGAACTGTCAGACATACAATATAGACTGAGCTTGCTGGAGTCAATGGACAGATGAATCAGTTACTACAGATGACCGGACTCAAAATACTAGCCTTCTGATCCAAGGTCAGTGCAATGGAGTAAAGACTGCTGCCAGGGAGGAGGGATATCAGAAAGGCCAGGAACCGGTTCAGTCCACTCTGGCAAACAAGCCACTGGGTGAGGAAAAACAGCAATATTCCAGAAGCCCTTGGGGGTCCTAATAACTCTTTTCTGTCTTGTACTGAAAGTCTTAATCATTTAATGTGTCTGCTTACAAGTCTTTGTGGAAATGTTCACAGGAAATCTGAATAAAATAAGACTATTTCACACTGGTACGTTATTAAAAATTTACCTTGGGTAAACCTGGGTGACAAGCCACAAATTCAAAGTGATTTTCTTATCACTTTTGAGTTTTATCATGTTAAAGAGAAAATGTGCTGCTAAAAATATGACAACCTGCATCAGTTTATTGCTATGGTCTAGGTAATTTGAGTTAACTAATGCTTTCTATACAACCTACAATAAACAAATCAAGAAAGAACTCCACTTAAAGCAATTATTGCAGAAATATATGGTGTGAAGCCCCAGTTATGCTTTTGTTGAAGTGTTTTCTTTAAATAAAAAGTACAAAGATACTTTGCACTGAAGGAAGCCAAGGACATGTTTGAGTTGACAAGGACACACCTTTTCCACTTAGTACACTTCGGGATTCACAGGATAACTTGCATCAGACACAATTTAATGAAAGCTCTCAAATAAGCGATTTTATTCCTATCCATGATTGCAGACATTTACAAAACCATAACATCTGAGTTCACCTTAAAAAATAACTTATATAAAGCAGTGATATACACAGCACAAAATAGTTCAGGGAGGGGCAGGAGCAACTTTTAATAATTAAAATGTAAACGTGAAAAAAAGGATGGAATAAAAGTCCCTACTTATTTCTACTTAAGATGTCATGTGATAATATTTTACAATGTCCTGTGGGTCAATGCATGTATACGTATATGTCCATATAGCATCTACATATACGATACATTCTCTTTCCCACACATATACATACACAGATAATATTTGCAGTTCAGTTTAGGGCAAGTCTAATGTGCCACTTTGTAGAGTTTGAATCACATTTGGACCCGCTTTCTTCACAACTGAGGAGAGAGCAGGGACTAAAAAGGTTGGTTTGGTGTGACTGAGACTCCTTTGTTTAACTGTACACTGATGAGTAATTTTCTTCCGTGGTAGTTCTATGAAGGGCTGACTCACGGTGGTTTTCATGAGGAGACTTGGTAATGGATCACACACTCATGGTCATGCTAGGGGAGTACTAGAAGGAAAGAAGAATCCACATTTTAACAGCAGTCCTTTCACAGGTCACCAAGGTTCTTCTTGGCACAAAAAGAGAAATGGTGAATTTCAGTTTGTTATGATCATTTCTGCACACACTTTTAACCTCAGGAAAATAAGAAACTATAAAAAGAGGAAGCTTGTAATAGGCTTCACTTAGTTGAGAAATTTTAAATTATTTCCTCTGCAAAGAGCTGATCAGATTCTCTTCCTAGACTTAGGAAACTGATAATTACCCAGTCCCTCAGACTCCCCTTCCAGCCAGACTTAGGTTTTGCAGGCAATTGTAACAATCAGAGGAACTTTAGTCCAAGGATGGATCAGAGCGAAGAAGTCTGAGGACTAGTCTTTGCCACATATATTTGAGTGAAGAAGGAGGGACTTCCCTAACATCTTCACTTCTATTTTCTCACCTATATAACAGGTTTAATGATAGTATAGGAGCTTGGGGAGGATTAAATACAAAATTCTTAAAAGTATGTACTTTATTAGATACATAGAAAATGCTCAGTATGTGAATGGTGTAAGAAGCAAAACAAAACTAATTCCCAGCTGTGCTGAGTTCGCATTAAAGCATAAAGCACTTAGGAGTGCTTTAGCACTTACAGCTCTTGCCCCCACTCTAGGACTCTAGCATTGATCCACAGTTATTTTTGTGTGAGAACAGGGACATGGACGTTACATGCTTACTTACCAGTATGATGAGTCTGACAACTGACACAGAGTGAGGCTTTTGGAAATTTGGAACAATGTTCTCAAAAATGACTTACAAAAGAATGAATTATGCCTATCTATTCGCATGCTGTTGGGAACAAAGCAGCTCCAGAGCAGAGCTTCCTCCAGGGACAGATTTGTCCACATGAGGCCAGTGAGCACGTGGAATGCAGCTAGGATCACTGAAGAACTAAAATTTTAATGTTACTTGATTTTAATTTTTTAAAATTATATATATATACACTATTTTTTAGAAGCATTTCATTACAGCTTTAACATAATAACAGTTTCTAGAGCAAAGATACATCTCTAAAATTAAATATCCACATACAGCTGGGAGCCACCATTTTGGACGGCACAATTTTAGATCAATTGAGCAGTGAGAAGCACCCATCCATGGCAACTGTCTCCAGATGAAAATGGTTTCTAAACTGGAATCAAAATGTGGACCCTGGGATATTTTAAATGTTTGACGGAAAATATGCAAAAACCAGTGTAGAAGGGGATTTCTTTTAATGGTCTACTAATGACTGTGCTTTAGGACAAGAGGCAGGTAGAGTCTAAGGGCCCAGTTCTATCCTGCAGAAACCCAAAGAGGAACAGTGGCTGTGTGAGTAACGGAACACGACTTTTTAGAAGGGGGACAGAGTGAAGGGCATTGCAGGCAAGCTGGCGTGGACTGTAGGATGAGGGAAAAGGTATAAGATGTGAGCTGAGGTTCAGATGAGTCAATGTGAGAAGGAAGAGTATCCTAGGTAACACTGACTCAGCTGGTAGACCTCTGAATGTTCCACACGTCATTAGGGCTCAAACAAAAAAATGCACTGTTTCTGAAGAAATGCAGAGGAAGAGGACAAAGCTTGTAAAAAGGGTCACTGTACCACAGTGGAAAATTTTTAGTTCTTTAAATAACAGCCACATCAAGGAGAATTTGTCATTGAACAGCCTAAAGTTCTGTTTCAGTACAGGAAAGCTAAGTTACATAGTTGAACTGACTCCTGTGCTGGATAACAGTGAGCACTGGGTGATAAAAAAGTGGGAAGGGAACTAATAAAAGCAAGATGAAGCCGAAACACCCCTCCCCAAGCAATCATAGATGAGGGCTGCTGAGATGGAGCTCACTCAACCCTGCACTGAAACAGGAAAACCCTATTTTATCCCAACGTAAAACACAGAGTCTCACATTACCCGTAACTCCAGCATGTTTCAATGCATTACACAGAGTCTTTGACTAAACAGAATTAAATTTTGATATTTTACTTTCAGAGACAAGAATAAGCAATAAGAAAATAAGAGGATATTAGATTTTAGAAATAGAAAAGAGTCATAGAGTATGGCAAAATAGTCACAGAAAAATGTAGTCTATGCTTTCTATAGTACTGATATTTGCCATAAAAATTGGTGATGTAGTCAGTGCTGTCCAACAGAATTCTGTGCTGATGGAAACTTTCTATTCTGTTCTGTCAGTAGAACAGGCTGTAGCCACATGTGGCTGCTGAGCTCTTGAAATATAGCTGTTGAAAGTTAGAAAGTAAAATTTTATATGTGTTTAACTTTAATCAAATATTTAAATTGTATAGTAAGATCATCAGCATTATTTCAAAACAAAGAGTTTTCTGACTGCTGTGTCAATATAAAATAGCAAGATACAAAAGTATTTTCAGCTGAACTTCAAAGGGAATGCTTGAGAAAATTTCTGGGTAATCGTTAACTCCAGAGACCACCCCCCCCACTTAGTGTGCATTTGAGTAGTCCATATATAACCGTTCTTGAATCCTTTCTTCTTAAGTATCATTCGAGCTTACATTTGTCCATAGGGAAGGAAGAGTAGGTGTTGAGTGGAGTATCATATTTAGACATCAAATATTCATGGTGTACTGCATTGAGACCACACGTCAGTGTTCCTACCATGCTGCTGCATCGATATGCCATGATATATTGCAAAGCCAGTACCAAAACGCTGTGGTATCAGGTTGCACTGTTTCAAAACTATTCTGTTGTCTGGTTCTCTTCAGAGGATACACTAACTCTTACATAGCAGCTAACAACATTACTGCTTGACTTAGCAAAACCCAAAATAAATCAAAACAAAAAAGTAAAATTCAAGCATACTATTTTGAACATATCCCTAATTATTTTATTTTTTATGTAAAGTATATTTTGAGATAGCACACCTTAGTATGAACTTGTGATATTTTCCTTCTTATAACCTAATTAATATTCCATAGAATACATCAGAGATAATCATTACAATTTTGAATACTCTTGATAAAATTTCTGCTTCAAGAATACTCACATTTCTGTCCTCTGTTTCTATAGAACATTTTGTTTTCTTAATGAGAAACGAGTTAGTTCTGCTTCTCTGAAACTAAAGTGAAATAATGTTCATGAACCACATAAAAATCTGGGATTCATACGATTTCCTTACAAAAGCAGAAATAGGCAAAGAGGAGGAAAAGTGGCAGAAGTTGCCAGCCAACTTCCTTGTCATTCCTATTGAACACCATCCTCTAATATTTTACTTACTCATCTGATTATAGATCAATGTCATGCTGAAATATTTTTCCAGTTTTTTTCCAGTAAGTTAAACCACTTATTTCCTTCACTTTTGAATCATTTCATTAATTCAGTTACAGATGTTTGTTAGCCACCATGTGGGTGCTGGGAATTGAATCCAGGTCCTCTGCAAGTGCAGCTGGTGATCTTAACTGCTTAGCCATCTCCCCCGCCCTGTTTTTTAATTAAAAAAAAAAAAAAAAATCTGTGCCATCAAACCCAAACATTTTACAGCATTTGAACACTAGGGGGCATCTTTGTCTCTTGAAAGAAAGAGCCTTGTTTGAGTCACATTTAGTTCTGTCAAGCATGTTTTTACTGCTAGTTTTGTGAATTTGGGCATGTTTGTTTTGATATAATTAAGAGAAGTAGCATGAGGGGATGGGCCAAGATAGCTACTGACATACAAGGCACACTTCTCTGGTTTAAGGTCTAGGTTAACAGTGACAAATCCTTGAAAAATAGACTGTTCACAAATAAGTGCTTTTTAGATTTATGTGCATTAAAAAACTAGACTTTGCACATTGGTTTATTGTATCTTTTGAATTCTCTAAATAGTTTGGCATTTCATCAATTATATTAAAGATTCAGAGATAAAGTATCTGAGCAAAACTGTGTGGTAACAAGCACATCCAGGCAGCACTAAGTGGACTGAGTAGGTTTCAGCCAGCACTAAGTGGACTGAGTACGTTTTAAGGCAGAGTGCATTAATTTGGTAAGGAAAAGGGGGGTGGGTGGGGAGAGGTGGAAACTGAGGGTGGATTTGATAAAAACATGTTATATGCATGTATAAAATTCTTAATGAATAAAAAAAATGCATGGTAATAAAATAAAGCCGTAAGTGATGTTGACTATTCACAAGTGAACTCTCCTCACCGGACAGACAGATGGATGGAGTAACCAGTGTAACACTGTGCATACCAGAGCTCATTTCTCCTAACTGTAACTTAGTACCTAGCGATCAACCTTCCCCAACCACCACACGGTTCCCAGTCTTGCATAACCAAAAACCAGAGTGGAGATGTTGTGTCTCCCACCATCATCCACTTATTTTCCTTTTGTGGTTTTTCTGCTGGGGACAGGAGGGGGTGAAAAAGAAAAATTAGGAAGTCTTGTTTTCCACTCTGCTAGCAGTCTTACACTGACCCTTCTTTTGGGTTCAGGCCAGTCAGGCTGGTCCAGGAGAGTCAGGGATGGGGAGACTCCTGTTTAGCCACTCTCCTTCTAAATACACATCCTTATAAAAGGAGGGAATGGTCTTCTTGTAAAAACCCTTAGTTAAAGTCATGTGGAACTTTTTTCAAAAGGTTTGCTTTCAGTCCTAAATTAATAATTTCCTCTTACATTAGTCCATACTTCAGTTAAAGTTATTTCATTTTAAAAAATTGACACAATTACATATATTTATGGAGTACCATGTGATATTTTGATGATGCACGATGGAAGCAAACTTATGTATTGCCTCAAATCTGTCATTTTTCTGTAATGAAAATATTAAAATCTTTCTTCCTAGCCTTTTTGAAATATATTGTACACCGTCATTATCTATAGTCCCTCTACTGTGTAACTGCACACCAGAACTCATGTAACTGTAACCAGTGTCTAGAAAGGGATCCACCTTCCTTGATCCCCAACCCCCCCACATTGGCTCCTGCCTCCTGTAACCCACAGCTTCTCAAACTGTAGGTTGTGACCTCATTTGGGGGTCATGTAATTGGAAGTAGGGTTGTAAAAAATTTGGCAGCAGCAAAATGTTTCTGGAATACAATAAAATATTAATTACAACCCAGTGGCTCCAGCAGAGAATGACCACTGGTAGCATTCACAGAGCTTTTTTCATTCAAGACTGCTCAGTCTGTCTCCCAGAAACTGAGTCACCTGGTCTTGGGAGGACTCTGGGAAACTCTAGTTTAAAAAATTCCTTAAGTATTTCTAGTGTAAAATAACAGAGTAAAATTGCATTTTGTAATAGCCTTTGAGAAAAGGTATCATTGTGTCTCTTTTGGTCTTCCCAGTGCCTAGTATATATTGCCTTGGCACATATAGTGCTTAGAAATAGTTTGTTAATGAATGAATGAATGAACTGCATTGCTTTACTTTTTGGCCTATTCACTTCAATGAAGATGTTAGTACTTCTGCTTAACCTTGTAATCACACTTTAAAAAATGACATGGGTATCTAGTCCAGGCTGACAGACCACAAATGTGGCTCTCACTGTAGTGAGCTCTAGTGGTGAAGTGACAACACACCCAGCTTATTGTCACAGTCTTACTATGACAACATTGAGAACAGACCTGGTTTTGCAGTAACCTGAGATGTTTTACTAACAGGTTAAAAAGTATCAAACAGGCACTGCTTCCAGATTGATCTATTACAGTGGATGAGAAAATTTGTATTATGGTTTTTGTAATTGTACATAAATCAAAAGAGAGTTTCTTAAAAGCCCTTTTCATAAAACTCCACATAAAGGCTCTTCTAACTTTTAAAATATCACCCTAGGCAAGGCATAGTGGTGAACACCTTTGGGAGGCAGAGGCAGGTAGATCTCTGTGAGATCCAGGCCAGTTTAGTCTAATAGCGAGGTTCCAGGCCAGGTGGGACTACGGGGAAACCTGTCTCAAGCAAGCAAGCAAGCAAAACAAACAAACAAACAAGAAAACAAATCAGCCTAGTGAACACAATATGAAGATCAATGATAATAGCTCTGAGCATTCATTCTAGAGGAGCTCAAGAAATATCACCTGCATATAACGGTCAAGGAGATACTTACACTTTCACTCTGAAACGGGTTTAAGAAATTTCCCCCCATTTCACCATCATCTCTTGGAGTGCCTGGTTGATTACTCAGGCTCATATTATTGGGAGAATTCTGTAACAAGATTTAGAAAACAAGTCATTGTTGAAGAATTTATTTTCCCTCTTGTACTGTAGTGCTTCAAAAATTGAAGGTATAGCAGCATCTCTGCAGACAAAGTCCTAAGTCAGAACTTTCTCCACATGCTACACCTCAAACTCTGTGCCTTGACAAGTACCAATGCTCTCACAAGCCAAAGCTTAAGAACAAGCAAAAAACCAAAATCATCCATGACAGCTATTTTCTTAGTCTCAGAATCAATGTTTATTCAATTTCCCACCCTTAGTTTATAGAGTTTCTACACCTCTAAAGAGTTTAAAAACCGTTCCCAGCAGGGGGCTGATGAAGAGAGCCTACCCATGGATAAGGCAGGATGGAGTCTAACTCTCAATCAAACTTTGAAAGGTCATTGCTTTAACAGACATTTCCTTTTACTTCTACGTGACTTTATAGATAATGCTATTTGATTATTTTATATGATTCTTTTTTTGTATTTTTAGATTCACTCCTTTATATTCACAAATCAAAATAGTTGCATACAAAAGGCTTAAGCTAAGTACTGAGCAACAATAAAAACCAAAACCATGTTACATTTTTTAAAAATAAATCATTCAATGAGATAGCTTGAGTAAGTTATTGGCTTAGGAGGAAAATGATGCTGTCACTTAGGAAATAACAGGAACTTCCTGTACTGCAAATAGGGTTTTGGAACTACTCAATGTTTAACAATTTTTCAAAGATTGAGTCCACAGTTCTAGTATAGGCCCTGGACTCTTTCTGGATGCCAAAAAGGAAGAAGCTTATGAGCGACTTCCCTGCCAACTGGACTAAGAACTAGTGTAATATGAATGAGTAACTTTGCTTATCTTAAACTTTTCAATAAAAATAAAGTTGGCATATACAGGCAACTATGATTCTTAAGGAAGAAAGGAAGGCAGTGAAGAAAAAGAGTGATGCCTTAGGAACAGAGAATTCATTGTATGTTGTCAGAAGTAAAGGAGGCTAGAAAGTAGACTGACTTAGAAACATCCTATCATTAGTTTAAAAGTAGATTTTTTTTATGGAAGTTTGTTCTGAGATAAAATAGCCACTATTAACAGTCAAACATGGAGTTAGCAGTGCATTTTTCAAAGTCTGTTTAAATTTGTTAGTCTTATCATCACTGTGCACTGTGAACCATACAAGGAGGTCTGAAACTCCACATCACTAGGAAATACAGAATGGTGTATATAATTTTTTTTTTTACCAGTTGTGGATCTCTATAGTAGTCTCTGTTGCTGCAAAAGGAAGTTTCTTTGATAAGGGATATAAGATACACTTTTCTGTGAATATAAGGATAAATGTTTAGAATATCTTTTTGAGACAGGATCTCCCTGTAGCCCCAGCTGTCCTGGAACTCACTATGTAGACCAGGCTGGCCTCAAACTCACAAAGATCCACCTACCTCTGCCTCCCAAGTGCTGTGATTAAAGGTGTGTGCTACCACGCCCATCCCTTTTATACAGCACTGCAACTGTGACTGAGGGGAATTATTTCAAAGTACAATTTTATTGAGTTAAAAAAAATCAGGACCAAATACTTTTTATTTCAAGTAGAAGAAAGGTTTTTAGATGTTTTTGTCCCAAGCAACATAGTTTATATCTTAGTTTTGAATAAGTTTTATTTATGTTAGAGAAAAGTACTTAGAAGAGTTAAACTAAAACAAGTACTTATAAACATCAAAATTTTTATGAATGAGTGATTTATAGAAGACTATGTGCTTTTTAAGAATATGTCTAAACTGTGAAGCTGAGGTAGGCAAAGGAGCTGATGTGAATACAGCATGTACCTCCTCTTGCTGAGCCCCCCCGCAGTGAGGATCTGTCGCAAGGATGCTCTGAAGTCTATAGGAACTCTATATGCCAATGAACTCCAAGGGTGATGAACCATACTTTCACAGCATAAAAAGAATTCTATCATTTCTGACAAGTTTTTTTCTCTGAAAAATGTTTAGTTACCAAAAATAAAGGCAATTCTACTTGTCAAATTAACCTGGTATCTTCATTTCCTTTAAAAATTTTAAGTAAAATTTAACTTAGCACCTTACTTTAGATTCATTAATTATTAAAGTTATTAAATAATGAATTTTTTTGAAAACATGAATAATAATGCTGACTTGGTTTAGAAAAGGAAATTAAACTTTATGTCAGGATTGTTTCTTAACAGTTGGGTGCTTCAAATCTCTGCTGTATTTTCTCATATATCATTCTTTCATTCTGAAAGTTTAGATAACTTCAAGTTTAATTCCTGACTCAATGTGCTAGTTTTATTTTTAATTAATCAATCAATTAATTAACTAGTTTATTATTTTTCAGTGCTGGGGATTGAATCCAAGGCCTGTGTATAGTAGGTAAATGCTCTGCAAATGAGTTACACCCCAAGACCCCCAGTATAGATTTTGTTATATTTTTCATTTAAAATAACATTGCAGTTTGATAAATACTTATACTTCCAAGGGTTACTGTTTCTTTTTTCCATGCACTCATACAATCTGCTCACAGCATGGAGGCTTAGGCTTATACTTTTTGTTTGTTTGTTTGTTTGTTTGTTTGTTTTTTGGTCTTTTTGAGACAGGGTCTCTCTGTAGCCCCAGCTGTCCTGGAACTCACTATGTAGACCAGGCTGGCCTTGAACTCACAGAGATCTGCCTGCTTCTGCCTCCTGAGTGCTGGGATTACAGGTGTGTGCCACAACGCCTGGCAGGCTTATACTTTTTTAATGGGGGGTGGGGAAGATTATATGGATACAACATAAAATCAGATAATATCAGGTCTTTGAAACTTTTTCCTTTCCAGTTACTGTTTGGAAATTCTGAAAAGATAAGGACAAAATACATAGCCTTTTTTTTACATGAAGTATTCTCTGCAAAATGTGAAAACAACACAAGTTCCTTGAAGTGGAGTAGTAAGAGAACTGAGTTGTTCAAACTAACAGAGTGACAGGAAAGAGATTCAGGCAAAAGAGCACCTGAGAGCTGAGACAGTGACCTACATGAGCACATAATTAGGGAAGAGGGAGCATGACAGAATTCAGGTAAAGACCACTGTTAGCTGTCCCTGTCATGTTGGCAATGTTTCTTACTTTAGTTGAAGTGTACTTTACTGTGTATTTCTGCTCTAAGATTTAGCTTGAAAACATTTGATTTTTATTGATCCCATCTTCAAGGGACTTTATTACATTCCCTTGACCATCTCAAAGTTCAAAAGACATGCACATTATATGAGTAAATAATATGCCACATACAACTTCCTCTGGATTACCATGCTTACTCTGTTAGAGCCTCTAATTTCTATTAAATCTTTAAAAATTATTATTACTGTATACATGCATGATCTATGTATGTGAGCATGTGTGCCCTGGCATACATGTGGAGGTCAGAGGATAAATTCATGAAGTCAGTTCTCTCCTTCCACCTTTACATGAGTTCTGGGGATCAAACTGAGGTCTCTAGGCCTGTACAGTAAGCCCCTTTACCTGCTGAACCATCTCACTGACCAAGTCTCTAGTTTTCATCTTTTAAGAACTTTTTCAAATCCTCTCTTAAGTAGTTACTGTTTCTTCTATCCTCAAAACCTGACCCAAAGTTTTTAAAATTCAAGTTTAAATTTTTTTTGAAATAAAAAGCACTGTAGAAACTTTAGCTCTGCTATAAATAAAATAAAATATGGACATTACTCTAAACCTCTTGGAAGTGGACTTTGAACTGGTTTTTCACAGCCTACCAATCATGTTGTTCTGATGCTGCTAACTCCACAAAAGAACAAATTAATCCCTACCATCATCTGGAGAGGGCTGCCCAAGGTCTAGCTCAGTGGTACCCATGCAGAGGTACCTGGAACCAAGGTTCAGGAAAGCAGAAAGCCCCTGACCATTTATTTATTCAGCAAGACATGACCAGATGAAATAGGGGTTTTTTCCTCCAAACTTTCAAACAGATGTGTGAAGTAGCTTAATGTGAATTGCAGAATTTCTGGGTATTTTCTTCTAAGAAACAAAACACCTACTTCTTTTCACCCCTAATGCCTAAAACAATTCTAAGGGAAATTATTTTTCATCTACTGATTAAATGAATGATTTTTCAGTTGCACAGGGGCTAAAGGAAATTCACATTTCATTTTCAAACATTTCTAAACTAAAGGTGAATTATCCATCTTGAGGACTAGGTAAATGGCTTTTTTACTAGGTAATCTTCAAATGAGAAAATGATTTTGAAATTTTCATTTGTAGTTTATTTTTTTATTTTACTTTTTAGAACATTTTTTAAGTTGAATTTTTGTATATTTCATACAGAACATCTCAATCAATCTTAATTATCTTTATACCCCTGTCCCCACTGGCACCCTCCCATAACCCCCTCAATGGAGCCCATATTCTGTGTCATCCGTTTTAAGGGCCTCTGTGTTAAGTCAGTGTCTTCAGACAGTCCCCAGTGCAAGTCCATTGAGGTCTAGTCAGCCTCTCTAGAGTTCTTTGTTTTAGGAAGATCAGCTATTTTTCACCTAGCAGCAATCAGTTGCCAGTATTTCTTCATTTGCAGTTTTTAACTGCGGCACAAACTGTGTTGTCAAAATGCCCTTGATGGTGCATGTTCCTATCCTTGCTTACACTGCAGTAACAAAAGAGAAGGAAGTTCCTAGACAGCACATCAGAGAGCTTAGCTACGGCCACACTTGAGACTGAACAGCTTTATGAAAGCCAGAGAATGAGCTAGAAGCTCTATTATTTTTAAGGAAATGAAGTCTAGGGGATCTTCAGCAACATTCCTACCACTGGTAAGAAGTAGAACAAGTCTTTCTGTTTCTCAACATAGTACACTTATCTTACACATAAAAATGGAATTTAAAAAACTATGCAATCCTGGCATCAGATGAAAATGCAGATTTAACTGGAGGACTAGGAAGATGCAGCTAGAGACCTATGAGGGATTTTGAACAAAATTGCTAATCAGTGATAGTCAAGATTTCTTGAGTCATAAGCAATAATGACTAGGAAAAGAATGTACTGGAAATGAATGAGACCAGAAAAGAAAGAAAGAAAGAACGAAAGGGGAGGAGAAAGCTTCTTAAGATAGTTTGACATGTGTTAGAAAAAGAAGATGGGAAAGTGGAGTTGTTGACTGTGTGTCCCTTGGCACAAAAGACCGGAAAAACAAGGCTGTGAGGGGAGAGGAGTTGGGAGAAAAAGGACTGGTGTGTGCAGTGTGGATCCATGCTGCTGTAGCTGCAAAAAAGGTGCTAGTGAGACCACCACCTGGGGCGGCTGGGCTGGAGCTTGGAGCCAATGAGCCTGAGGGGGGGCAGTGCAGAAATAAACTTAGAAATGCATTTGACACAGACATTTCCAGCACTCTTGTTAAGTGACATTTGTTACTTGTGGGAGAATTCTAATATTAATTTGAGTGTACATAACCTTGTCTTATAAAAGATTTTCCTGATTTATAAGATAGGGAGTTTCTTAGGGACAGTGATCATGTTTTGCTTATCTTTGGTGTTTCAAAGGTCAGCATGATGCCTTGGCACACTGTCCTTTGTTAAATAAAGGAATTCCTGTGTAAGTAGAAACCACTTGAGGACAGAGATGATGCTTGTATTTAAAGTCTTTTATCTTATTTTTTTTTTAAATCTATCTCCCTGTAGTGCACAAACCAACATTTAGCACACAATGGATGGTCAACTGATGATTAGGCTTTGGGCTAGAGAATGCTACTAGCAGTGGGCATTATAGATATTGGTATTCTATTAAACATTGTGGCTCTATTTAAAAAATGCTTCATAAAAACTCTATTTAAAAAGTGCCTTTATAGTCACAAAGTACTTATCTCTACAGACCTTTGTTTCTATCTCTCTAGTGTAAAAATTTTAGGAAGGTGACATTACAGCAATTTAGATGACCCCACTTTCAATTTGTTAATAACTATCTCTAAATATAAGAATATACTCCTCAAATAAGACATTAAAGTTTTGCTGTTGACTTTAAGGATCATTCAGCAAACTCAAGTGTTAGAAATGATTCAAGATGGTCAACACAGTCATGGTCATCTCACTGGGTAAGGCACCTCTAGAAGAAGAAGGCTCTAATAAACAGACCTTGTGAATACCATTTCTCATAGAGGTAGGTAGTGCTCATTATGAATAAATATTTCTGATTGTTTCTAAACACATTTATCCAAAGTGCTTGTAGAACTTGAAAGGCTTGCCAAACAGGCAACATAGGTACAATGTTAGAACCAAAATTTAAAGTCTTTTGTTTAAGCCTGAAGTCCTAACTTAAAATGTTTTATAGCTCAAGAAAACTTACTTTATTTTACATGGCACCAGGAATTTTATATTATTATGCACAAATAGGAATTTAAAGTAGAATTAGAAGCAGAGTTGTCCTTTAATGGATTTCTCTATTTACTGATATAAAGCAGATTTCTAAGAGTCATTCTAGTGCTAGCTAATAATTAATTCTTATGACACATTCTAAATATGTTTGACTCTTAGAGAGCTGTTTAAATTTATCATGCTCTAAGAAGTATCTAGATGTTATTCTTAAAAACATATAAGACATATTATATTACCAAGGGTTAATTTTAGATTCTCAAACTACTGAAGATGGAAAAATGCAGACATACTTTTCTATTTGTGTTAATATAATTTCCTTTAAATTACTTTCTTACTCTACTTTGAGGACTAGAATAATGACTACATATATCAACATTGCCTAATGAAGGCCTGAAAGACCAACTGAATGTATAAATGAAATGACTTCATAACATATATAACCAATTTTTAAAATTTATCTACTGTAACATTGTTTCAGATACCTTTATCTTTTCACAATGCCATCTAAACTGCCAGTGTGACATCGTAACATGATTAAGTTGGTTATCACCTAAGTTTGAGTTATTTGCAGTATGTGAATCAGCATGATAGCAACATTATTGTTTTTGGATATTTTTATTGGATTTGTGTGTATTTCATATACAATATCTTAATCATCTTTATAGCCCCCCCCACCGAATTTCGTGCATTCTGTCATTTATGTTATGGCTTATCAAGTCAAGTTGGTATGTCCAGACATCCCATGGTGCAAGTTCATCCACTGTGGTCTAGTTAGCCTAACTATAATCACTCCTTTAAAGAACATCAGCTCTCTCCCTCACCCTGCAGTAATCAGGTGCCAATAGTTCTTTGACTAGGATTGGGGCCTGCTGCCCATTTCCCCAGTTCTATGCTGGTTTTTTGTCTGCTTGAGTTTGCATAGATCTTGTGCATGATGACACCATTGCTGTAGGTTATATAAGCAAGGTTCCAGGAGCCTGTAAGGCTCTTGCTAGGAAAATTCTTAAAAGATTCATCTTTTCTTTTCCCACAGATTATATACATTAATATTTTAACTGCCAAATGATCATACCTAGATTTCTGTTTTCAAACTTTTATTGAGGAAGAACATTCATGAAACTAATCCAATTAACATTACAATTCCATGTGGAATAAAATAGAGTAAAAAAACACCGAGAATGCACATTACTCACCTTGGAAATACTGTCCATATCTCCTGAGCCTGAAGCATAATATGAAAAGAAAGACTATTAGGTAACATCGCATTTATGAATGGAAAGGCACTGTCAGGTGAATAAGTAACATGTGATGGCAAAGTGAAGAACTCCACTCTTACCTCTTAATCATCTGGTTTTCAAATCACAGAATTAAAAAAGTTCACTGTGGTAAGTTATTAGAGAGATCATTTATATCTTACTCAAAATTAAAATGTTAAATTTGATACAATTTAAAATGGACATTTGTGGGGCTGTAGAGATGGCTCAGAGGTTAAGAGCACTGGCTGCTCTTGCAGAAGACCTGGGTTCAATTCCTAGCACCAATATGGCAGCTAACAACTGTCAGTAACTCCAGTTCCAGGGGATCTGACACCCTCTTCTGTCTTCCACAGGCACTGCATGACACTGGTGTACCCACATGCATGTAGGCAATACACTCATATACATAAAAATAAATAAAATATTTAAAAATGGACAATTGTAATGATAGTTGACAATATACTGAACCATCTTTTCATACAATACCAAAAGTAAGGTATTCTTACTAATATTAAAAAATTGATAGCAATGAATAGCCACAATAGAAACTAAACTGATCTTCAAGATAAATTATGTTTTTATTTTGATACTTGAGAGATAAGACAATATAATTATACACTAAAATACAGCTAATAATCATAACTTTGCCACAATAGTTTTATTTTGAACCATTTTATTCAATAATTTATCTTCTTAGTACAAAATATTTATTATAAGATTTTATTAACATAACATTAACTAACCATTTCAAATAAAGTTAAGGGTAAAGATTATTCATTTGTTAATAAAGATGCATAACACATTGGCTATATACTGAATGCGTACCTGCTACACTGTATATGTGACTGTATACAGTAATGTTCACTATAGGAGGTAATGAGCTAATTGTTAATCATTGTGAAACTTCTGAAAGTTCAAGTCTAGTGAATAATGTAACAGAAAGTCTCCAACTATGACCAAACACTCTTCTTTTTGACTAATTCTCCAAATTAAAAGGCTAAAAGTTAAATTGTTTTACAATAATCCTGAAAAATAAAATTCCATACTAGTGCTCTCCAACTGAATACTATGTGGTGAAGGATATGTTTTTCTGTAATGCCCATTACAGTGGATGTTAGCTATGTGTGCCTGCTGCTGTCAACCTAAGATGTGGAAGTGTGTTTGAATATTTGAATCTTAAATTCTATTTAAATAGTTACACATGGCTAGCAGCTACCATAATTAGACACTTCATGTCAACAATAAAAAAAATTAACCAACACTTTGAAATCTAGGCAAAATAAGTATGGGTCCTTACAAGCAAAAAAGCGTATCAATACATGACAAAAAATTTCCAAGTCACTGAAGTTAGACCAGTGTTTCAGAGAATCATAAGGACATATTTCCTGAACTAGAGTGAATGAAATTCTATATAATCTGAATTGTTCATAAGCATAGTTTTTCCAATTTAAGGACAAGATTCTTTTGCAACCCTTTGCCCCCACCATAAACTTTTAAATTATCTTATGATCACACAAGTGCATCTTTTTCTTTTTGCTTTATATCCTCCTGCCTGTGAAGATAGTGTGCTATGTGACCTAGTCAGTTTTGTTTTATTTCTCTCTATTCTCACCATTGTGAATGTTTTATTCATCTTAGAGATACTTGGCTTCATTTGCTAAGAAGGTAGAATATATGAAGTATTTTCTTTTTTATTATTATTTTTCTTTATTTAATGTGTATGAGTGTTATGCCTGCATGTGTGTAAGTGCACCTGTGTCATGCAGTGCCCAAAGAGGTCAGAAGAGGGGGTTGAATCCCCTGGAACTGGAGTTATGGATGATTGTTAGCCACCATGTGGGTGCTGGGAGTTGAACCCGGGTCTTCTGCAAGAACCAGTGCTCTTAACCGTTGAGCCAACTCTCCAGCCCATGAAGTGTTTTCAAATATTAGTCACATACTTGAAATCAGCTTTAACCTGAATTTAATGTAAATCATGTAATCTTATTTTTAAAAGAATGCAAATATTAAAATGCAAAGTGAAATTAAGAAATTCTTGCAGAAAACTGGTTTCTCTGAGATCATGTTCACAGACTGGAGACCAAGGCACCAGAACATACCACAGTCTTCCAGGTGAGGCAGCATGGCACATGCTCAGCGGAACAAAGCCTCCTTTGATCATGAGACACTTACACTTTGGTAGGTTAACATAAACACCTGTGAATATGAACTGGGATAAAATAATTCTCACACTCCTGATTTCAAATGCTCTCCAGTTCTTATAACCAATATGCTGTGGATCCATAGTCTTATTCTGAGGTTAAAAAAAGCTGAAGTATCTCAAATGAGTGGTTGGATATGGAAGAGCTTTGCAGACCATGATACCCACTGTGTAGAACCACTGTTTTAATTTGAATTAATTCTATACGTGAAATTTAAGACCCTTACCTAAAGAGCCATTCATGTGATGGGACTCCATTCCTCCTAATCCACCCATGGGACCATCAGACCCAGGGCCCATTGGAAACTATTTTTAAAAGGAAGAAAATGACTGTTATCATACTGAAAAATTTATTTCAATGTTGCAGTATTATTTCTTAACATTACAAGACTGTGCTCTGATTTGTTTTCAAATGTAGAGACTTTTTAATAGATTTTTTTTGTAGTCTGTGGATTCTCCAATTGTCTGCCCACCTCTCTCATCTCATCTCTATGGGTGATCAAGCCAATTCCCATCCCTGTCCATTTTTCCCCTTCTTCAGAAATGCCCACCTAGAAAGCAGGTACATTGTCCTACAAATGAGAAGATCAGCACTTTCTTCCACAATACAGACAAATTTTCTATTATAAATCCAAGGTATTTCTTAAGAATCTGCTAAAGCTATTGGCTCATTAAGAAGAATAACTCAACATCATTATGCCAATATCAGCTCTTTCTTAGTAGGTAATATATCTTTGTTCAAATGGATGTAATCAATAATTTCATAATAAATTCAGTATAAAATTAAGGATAGCTTAATGTGGCTAATTCTTCTTAGTAATCTGAACCACAAGAGCTTAGTGACAGGCATTCTACAGAGCAGTTCTATTAAAATTTTTTTAAAGCATGAGACGTTTTTCTTTTCAAGTAAAATCTTATGTTAGAAATATAGTAGAACACAATTGTGAATAGATGTGCTAGGGTAGAGCTGGTTAAAGTCCATGGCCTTGGCACTCTTATCTTCTCTTTACCTCTCTAGAACGCTTGAGTCAACCTGAAGACAAATTACCTATAATCATCTACGTTTAGATTTAAGACACCCACTGAAAACATTTTCTCTTAAAAGTTTCCATGGTCAGATTGCATCTTCCATGATACATGGCATGGAATGTATAGTGGTGATGGTTACAAATCATAAAAGAATTTGAGGATCAGAACAGATTAAGCAAGAAAGGAAGGGAAAGGGAAAGGAAAAGGAAAAGTGTGAAAAAAAGAAGGAAGGCAGGCAGGCTTATGGGGGGACTCTAGTCAGGTAATCCTGAATGCCACCACTTCTGTGGAAATATGGTGGCCTTCCCCCACTGTGAGGATACAGGCCACATGCTTAAACATTTTCTCAGAAAAATGACAGGTTTGCAGCCTATAGTTAAGTGTCTACAAGTACATGGATGGGCCAGCAACATGGCTAAGCAGGTAAAGATACTTGCTGCCAAGCCTGACAACCTGAGTTCCAGATTCAGGTCCCACACATACTAGGAGAAGAGAGCATCTTCCACAATGTATTCCAACTTCCACATGAATGCCATAGCACACATGTATCCACACACATACACACATACAATAATAAATGAAATAAAGTAAAATATAAGAATATGAATTGATTTTTAGAAAATAATTTGGAATACATATGCCTCATTGGTAAACAGAAGGACTGACTGAAATTATTACTTCTACTCAGCTTTTAACAAAACTATAGATTAGAGTTGGGCTGAAAATTTGGAGCTCTAAGGTCAACAGCCTATGAATCTGCTTGGTTTGATCCTTTTATCTTGCTTCTATGGTTTTAAAAGATACTTAATGTTTTAAAAGACACTAAGACTATAGGCATATATGCTTGATCAGTTTAACATATAACTTTTTTTACTTTAGTTACCCTATATAGATAGAAACATAACATTATACACATATTTATTATTTTTATTTTATGTGTATGTGTGTATTGTCTGCATGTAGGTAAGTGCACCAGTGTCATGCAATGCCCACAGAGGTCAGAAGAGGCTGTCGGATCCCCTGGGACTGGAGTTATGGACAGCTGTTAGCTGCCATGTGGGTGCTGGGATTCGAACCTGGGTCTTCTGCAAGAACAACCAGTCTTCTTAACCGGTAAGCCGTCTCTCCAGCCCCACGTTATACATATTTATATCTCTCTATATAATTTAAATTATTCAGATTACAACTATGTTATAATCTATATTTACTATATATAATTACACATAACTATAATCTGTTGTATTTTTATTAAAATGCAGGCCTTATTTATAGATGAGTGTTTTCATATGGGCTTTTGTGGAAAAACCATGCCATTCACTTACTAAGAACACCTCACTTCCATACGTAAAGTCCAGATTTTAGAATTTAAAGAAAAACAAGCATACTGAACTTCCTAACTTGTTTTCTAGTTTATCAGTATTAAAAGAATCACACTGAAGAAAATTTAGTGATACTAACAATTAAATCCATATAAATGATTATGTATAACCTGTCATTTTCAAGTTGTTCTAATCACTAAGAACTTGGAAAAAATGAAAAATAATTTATAATTAAATTCAGCTTTACATTTGAGTTATATTGATATGAAATCTTCTATTTATGTTATATGTCATGTATTTTTCACCTAGAGCATACAAAGAATCTTTTTGTATCCAATAAGCTCTTGAAGAATGAAGTATAAAGTTCAAACATTATTCAGGTAATAGAATGTAATTCAAATTTTGCTATTTTCAAAAATGTTGAAGTTCTCAAATACGTTAAAAAATTATACTTACATTAGGTCTGTTAGGCCCAGGAGGTACTGCATTCATTAAAGTGTACATGTTGTCTCCAGAGTTGGTTGAATCTGAAACGAAACATTGCTTATTATTGTCTTAATCTTTGTACCCAAAACATCACAAAATAATATTCAGAGATGATCTAGAAATATACAGGCACTGATATCTCTAACACCTGAGCTAGCCCTTACTAATGTTTGCAAGTGAAAACCTGATAGTCATTTTCTGACTCAAAATGCACCATTCTGAAATCATAAATTAGAGGCATAAGAAGTATAATTATTTCAGTAATTCAGGACAATAGAGCCTTATTTTAAAAAATTATCTAAAAATTACAATAAAGGTTTTTCTATAATGAAACATGAATTATTTTTAATTCTGTAATGACATGTATATATATATATATCAAAAATTTCTTAAAATTCAGATTCGATAGTTTTTCAGTTTACATTATTTTCTTAGATTTTCTATGTAGAAATTAAAATGTATTTTAAGGATAAAACTAGTGTGATATACTGATTTAATTAAAAATATTTTAGTACTTTTTATTTTATGTGTATAAGTGCACTGCCTATATGTACGTAAATGCACTAGTGTCATGCAATGCCCATGGACGTCAGAAGAGGGCATCGGATCCCCTGGAACTGGAGTTTTGCACAGGTGTTAGCTGCCGTGTGGGTACTAGGTCTCGAACCTGAGTCCTCTGCAACAACAGCCAATGCTCTTAAGTGCTGAGCCATTTCTCTAGCCCTATACTGACTTAATTTTAAAAGAGAGATTATAATAGGAGTAGAAAAGAATTGTCTTGCTTGAAGGCAAAGCCAAATTCCTCTACCAAACACTTTTCTTTTGAGACAGGGTCTTGACTTATGGCTCTGGCTGGCCTGGAACTCACTTTGTCGCCCAGGCTAAACTTGAACCTAGAGCAATCCTGCTGTCTCAGTCTCCCAAGTGCTGAATTATAGACATGAACCACCACACACAGCTTTCAGTAAATTTTTGTTATTTTTTTTCATTTATTCATTCTTGATTATAACAAAATAACTTCACTGCATATGTCTATAAATATATGAAAGATTTTGTAATATTTAAAAATTTACATCTCATCTCCAAATATATTTTTTACAAAGTAAACCTAGAGTGAAAGCCAAGTATTTTACTTTGAAGAAATATCAATTATGAAATGTAGTTTCCTATTTTATTACAATTATACAGTTTTATTAAATGTGTTACAATAGACCTTTATTTTGAAACTAAACAAGTATTTGAAAAAATGTGGTTTGTGCTGATTTGAGACAGCAGGTAAAAATAATCTGCTTTCTTGTGGCAGTGACCATAGAGAAAAATAGATAATTACTTTTGCTTTTTTGTGTGATTACTCTTTGGATATTAGTTTATGATTTTAGTGAATACCATTTACAGAGTAAGTGTGATATTATTTATTCATTGTTTCCCAACAGCACTGTATGAATCACAGTACTAGTTAACTTCTAAATGAATATATCATGTTATTGAATAAATTGCAATGCGTCCCCTCGGGCTGATATCTTTTTATTTTGTGGCTGTAACTTTTTCATGTCTTTAAACTATACTTCTATCAATTTAAGTTACTTATTTTCTTCCCATCTATCATCAATCTTTCCCATCGCCATGCTTTTTATCCTTCTTCTTCCATGCATCTTCTCCCCAGTTCCAACTTAACTAAAATTCTAGTCACTATTCAAGGCCTATTTCAAAGGTTATTTCTTCCATGAAGATTTTTCTTGAGGTTTCCAAGTGCATTTGTGCTCCGTCTAATGACGTCTGCCTGGCATCCCAGTTAACATTCAGTTGGCTGTCTTCTCTTCTGCTTATAGCTGGCTATGAAGAACTCACTGACAGGAGGAAAGGGGCTATGTCTTACTTATCCCGTGTGTCTCAGACAACAAATGTCTCCAAGTTAATGTGTGGAATAAATTCTCTCACATGCAATTATATGTCAGAAATTATTGGATTGCTTTTTAAATATACAAAAACTTTAAATGGGTTTTCAACTGTTTTAGCTTTACTTTTGATGAAAAATGGGCAACATATTTTAAATATGTAAGAGATGAACTCATCATTTTTAAGACCAACTAAGAATATAATTTCATCTGAAAAAGGGAAAAAAACATGGAGAGGAATAAGGACAGTTTTCTAGAAAAAAATATCTGATTGCTTTTTATTCAGAGAAAGCTTTACAATACAGTGGTTCTTCTGGGAGTGTGGATACTGGCTTATCATTAGAGGAGGGACTATGACACAGGATGAAGCTACTAAAATTAAGCAAAAAGGCAAGTAAAAATACTTTTGAGAGGGAACAAGAGTACTACCGCCTTCCAGATTAGTGTTGTTCCATATACTACCTTCACAATTAAACACAGACTTTACAACACAGGAAGGGAAATGCAGGGTTCATGATCTGTGCATATAACTCTATCTCCAATGAATTCAACTTCATTTTAAGTGTTGATATTTTGAAGATGGAGATGATGGAATATTTTTGGATATAGTGCAAATACTGAAACTAAAGTAATATTTTATAAACAAATTTGTTTTTTAAGTGAAAAGTTCAAATAAAAATATTATTTACTGGTATTATTAAGATAATGACTTGATTTAACAGTGAGGCAAGCTAAAAATTATTTCTAATTATAGAAATTTCCCATTCATTTTATTACCTAGAAGCAATCATTTTTTTATACTTTTAAAATCCCCCCTCTATAGCATGTGCATGCGTACACACACACACACACACACACACACACACACACACTGTGGAGCTAGAGAGAAGATAGCTTAGTGGTTAAGAGTACATACTGCTCTTGCAGAGGACCAAAGTTTGGTTCCCAGCACCACATATACAGCTCACAATGGCTGGTTATTCCAGCTCCAGAGGATCCAAGACTATCCTCTGGTCTTTGTGGGCATCTTCATTCACTTACATATACCCACAAAGAGATACACATAAGTACACATAATTAAAATAAAGTAAATCAATAAGTAAAACTATGATAATATTGTACTGAATCATGAGCATTTATTTTTCACATCATTAAAAAATCCTTTTTTTTCTTTCTTTTTTTTTTAGGGAGAGTCTCCCTTGTAGCTGGCCTGAAACTCACTATATAGACCAGGCTGGCTTCAATTTCACAGAGATCCACTTGCCTCTGCCTGTCGAGTGAGTGCTAGGATTAAATACATGTGCCACCATGCCCAGCTTTAACAATATCGTTTATAGTGCCTTAAATTTTAACTATATTCCATCATATACCTTAAAATTAATAATTTCACTAGAATTGGGTTAGTAATAATGATTAATTTGTTTTCTACTTACAATAATAAATGAGCATTCTTGGATAGAAATCTGGGATTGTACCTCCAGTCATTTCTAGTACTAGGATTATACTGTTATATGTTTTGAATTATGTAATGGCCCTTGATATAAGTTAGCAGAGAATTTACTATGGTATCTTTGATGATTTAAATTCCAAAAACTAATCCCCAAACACACTTAATAGTCTGTACTAGAGTCTCAAGAAAAAAGGCTACAGCAAGTTGAAATAATCATATTTAATGACTATGGACATATTGAAGTATATCTTAGTTTAGAAGATTAAAACTCTTAACACTATTTAGTAAATTTATTAACTATTAAATTCCTATAGACATGTAGGGTAAACACTGTATGCAGTGTAGTAAGATGATAGATGTGTGTGTGTGGGGGGGCTGGTTTGTTATTTTAAACCTAATGGGTCTGTGCCTTTAATGTTTTACTCACGTAGATTTTCCAAGTTGTGGGATATGGATCCTTTTCAGTTTAAAGGAACATTTATATGGCTCTTTTCCAATTTTAAAGGTTCTTTATGTAAGTTAAATTACTGGACAATTCATACAAATCAACAAATTTTTCATACTGACTAAATTTTTTTTCCATTTTCTAAATGCTTAAGTAACTGGGCAGAAGTTATTAAAAGCTCTCTTCCTAGTTGCCACACTAGGAAGTTACCATACTGAGATAATTAATACTACTAACTTTACTTCAAAACAATTTCTGTATTTTGCAGTTTTATACTAAATAGTCAAATGCCCATATAGCTAGTTTGATGACAATACCTGCTGGACTAGGCATGATGGGTGTTCCTGGTGGCCCTCCACCTCCTGGAGGACCCTAAATAATTACACAAAATTTCAGTAAAAATAAAGCATTTCATTAAACAGTGTAAGGAAAAACATAAAAAGGTTATATTTATCTCTATAATAATCAATTTGAAAATAACAGCAAATATATTTTCTTCATAATTCATTTTCTTTGAATGCACAATCATTTCAATATTATGCAAAACATAATTTAGCTTAACTATGTTGAGATTGTTTTGACAAGTTTCCAAAAACAATGAGCATGTAACAGTGATTTAATATTCATGACTTAATCACATCAGGTATAATGAGGTTAAGGAGAAACCACTTAATAAGACTTTTACAAATCCATAAAATAGAAATAATTCATGTGTACTGTGATTGCTTATATAATTTTCTTAGATTTTGTGCTGGTTTTCAGGATAAACTGAAAAGACATTCATGTAGCAAATATCTTCAGAAGCTAAAAGATACACATGTAGAGATTATATTAAAACCCACTAATGCTATTCCCTTCTTCTGTCAGCCTCAACTGCAACACTTCTAGAAGATGATGTGCTAGCTACCACAACTGGAGGTGAGAGGTGGTGCTGACTAGTGCTGGGGACTACGGGGCTGCTGCTCCACAACCAAACGGAAGCACAATTAGGTAAACTCTCAGTCAATTCAGACATCCAAAATGGATGCTAAGGAATGAGTTTTAGAATTTTTCAGGCGCTCTACTTGCAGTGACCAAATTGATTCTCAAGTGGCTAATATTTTTACTTCATTCTGAGTGTGTCATACAGTCTACCAGCTATTTCCAATAATAAACGCATCTGCCCTGAGTAGACAGATAAAATTTCTTTTTAAATGAAAGCACATAATTTCATAACATTTTGTAACAAGCTTAAGTGACTTGAAGAAAAAAAATTACTCTATTTTTCTTATTTTCACTTTTGATTTCATACAAAATGTGAAAAATTTTACTTTCTTAGCTAGTATAGCTTATAGGAACACAAGGTACTAAATTCACAGGTCCTAAGCAGCATGTGCTTTTTGCTATGTTAATACAGCAGTATTTCTTGGGGTAAAATGCTCATTGATTCTCTTCCTGTGTGCTCTTCTTTATTGCACCATAGTTGGCCATAGCCTCTGAAAATTACTTCAGGAAGAGTGTACTATTCATTTTATCCGTGCTTTTCTGTTAAGCATTTTCAACTAAATATTGTGAAACACTGTCTTTTATATAGTCTTTATTGAGATGTAGCAAGGATCATGAAGTGGTGATGGCTAAAAGATTATTTGTGATTTCAAAGATTTGCTTAAAACCTACTAATTTGACTTTAGGTCTACATAAATTATTAGAAATGTTAACACATTAGACAGTGACAAGGAAATCAGTATTTTCATTGTCTAAGAATAACAACAACAACAACAACAAAAAACCCTAAAAGCTTCTTCCAAATTACTAGTCTTTATTCTGCTGACTGATCCATTTTGTGGCTGGGAGAAAGTTTAATGTCTTCTTAGCCTTTAAGTGTGAGGACAGGGGCTGGGGAGCTGGTGAAAGCATTATTCTTGTGGAGAACTGTGAATTCAAGCATATCATTGTATAACTGGGGATGGCTCTCTTCATGAGTGGATAGAGAGTATTGTTTTGGTTTCCAGAAACATATGCTAAAATAAAACAGAATACTCAGGGCACTTCTAGCCAGATTGATAACTGTTTCGCTAATGAATATCAACATATGTACTGAGGTTGGCAGATGAAACAACTCAAGATGTTCACTTCTTGGCCAATACACAGGGGCTCTTCTTAACATCTGGACAACTATTTCAGTGCTCAAACAAAATGTAACATCAGTTCTTATGAGCAAACAAACCCAAATTTACTTACGACATAATTCCCAGGAGATGCTGAGGAGTATGGTATCTGGAACATGAACAGGACAAAACAATTATTTTGATTCATGTGGCAGACTTAGACTGAACTAAATGAATCTGATTCTTGTCTTTTATCAAGTTTAAAATGTAGCACAAAGGATAGTTAAATCTAAAGAAATTTATATCTGTTTAATTGCTTTAAAAAAAGCCAAACCAAGCAACTATAATATTATCTGAGTTAACAAGAAAAATAAAGATTTTAGTCAAGAGAAATTCAAAGGTATAAGTTTGAGTTAAATTGTTTTTAGGTCAGTTGTATACACTGCTTGATACTAATGAGCTATTCTATAATCAGAAAGAAAGATATATACTGTGCAGCTAAAACCAGAAAATCAGAAAATTTCAAATTAGTAGCCTATACAAATAAAGCATCTAGCAGATGAATATATATATATATATAAATAAATTCAAGCTTTTGTAAATTCATACACCAGTTCTTAATTAAATTTAGACCACCCCTATCCATGCCTCTCCCAACCCCCACTGAACCTCATGTATTCTTCCATACATGTTAAGTCCTAGTCATTCAGGGTCAGTATAAATATGTCCACTGGAGTCTTATCCATCCATGGCTCAGGGATCATTGTGGAAGAGGGGGCAGAAGGAGTGTAAAAGCTAGGGTTGGTTGATGAACACAGGGAAGCAGAGGCTTTCAGGTCACTGGAAGCTTGCACATGTGCACTTGTGGCAATGGTGGCATCGAGCACAGGATCCATGTCAACTCAATTAAACAAGAGCCCAAACAGGAGGAGAGAAACAGGTGAATTTTTAAGAGATAGTTTACTAGTAATTTATCAACACACATCTCAGAAAATTCCTGAATTTTTGACTTGTTTGACTCTTGTCAGCAGGCCCTCATGGTGATTATGTCATCCTGAGTAGATATTTTGTCTTCCAGCCACACATTAAAATCATTAAGTTCTTTACTATGCCTTCAAGAAAGAAAAGAAATGAACACTTAAAGCTAAGCAGCTAAATATTTCACTCATCAGATATCATGAAGACAAAAGGAAGTGTCATGTTTGGTTGTTAAGTAGGTCCACAGGAACCTTGAGAACAGGACTTCTACAGAAATGGAGGTGCTGGGAAGTCATTTCAACAGGTTTTCAATAATCACCTGCAATTTAGGCCCTGCACTACCATGCAGTGATAGAGATGGCTTAGGGGTCCCTCACCTAGTGGAATGGCAGGGAGGGAGTACAGGAATGAAGACATGGGTGTGGTTGGAGACCTGGAAAATAGCGAAAGGTTTCCTATCATTCAATCCCTCCCCAACTCTTTAGAAGCAGTGGACAAGGGGTTTAAGTTCACCTTGGAACATTGCTCTTTATCATAGCATTAAAGTTCTGGTCAAGTGAATGGGATGAATTGGAGCCTTTCGGGGAGCAAATAAGCAGGTTACGGAAAAGCAACATGGACCAGATTAATGAGAACAGATAAAGGACTTGCTATGTGAAGAAAGAGCATTACTATTTGTGAGGTAAGAGGACAGGAGAGATGATACCTGATGATATTAGACATGAGGGGCAGAATCTGAAGAAATTTGAGTCTAATGGACTTTACTTTTTTCTTCTGTAAATATGAGATAATTTTAGATAGTAGAAAAGAGGCCAAAGCTAAAGCAAGGGACACAATAAAAATAATCGAGAATTACAGCAGTCACTGAAGAAAGCAGAAAAAGTAGCTAACTATGGAAGAGTAAGACAAATTTAATATAATATAATATGTTCAGTGCAGTAATAAAGACATACATTGAGCATGGTGGAAGAACCAAGGAAGATGTTCTAAAATCATACCAAATTTAACACTTCGAACAAAACCAGACTGTCTACCGTCTTTCTAAACCTGCTTCCTTACCTCTGTTTCTAGCTCAGTTACATTATTAGCACCTTCCCGGATGCTGGAATTCAATACCTTGTAACCATCCACAACTTTCTCCTTTTCTTTATCCTTAATTCCCCCCTCTCTAGCTGTACCCTATATTTCACATAAAATGTCCAATAGGATTAATTAAAAAGATAAAAATGAAGAGGTAGAGGAATACTTTTCTTCTGTATGCATAGGATGATGCCCTCTTTCTCGCTCTGGAAAGAAAACCACACATTTCCTCTCATTTCTTTTCCTGATACATATTCTTTGAGTGAGGGTAGATGTTTCTGTATGTGGCATATATTAACAGGAGGCTCACTTTCAGTTTTTGCTTGCCTGCGTTTGTGCTGACCAAATGCTCATTCTTTACTGATCACTGAGAGCTGTTCAATGTGAACATTTCTCACTTTAGTTCCTAGCATTTCTTGGGGTCTAACATAATGCAGAACTGCTGATCTGATACAAGACATCTTGTGCCCACAGTGTTCAGATCAGTCCTGAAGAGATGGCTCTCGAAAGCTGAATTCATCAGAATGTAGAGCTTGCTTCTCAAGTCTACCCCTAGTTAATATGCTTTACTTGGAAAACACACTCCACAAGCACAACACACCTTCTTCTGTATCAGCTTCCCAAATGCTGTCCACTTTCCTATGTGGCTTTTTGGCTACACTCTAAGGATGAGTACATCAAAGGAAGTGCTGATGGATGTAGTAGCATGAATTGTTCTCTGGCTGCCTGCAACAAACAGTAGATGGATGGATGCCTGTACAGACTGAGGAAGGGACAGGGTTTTCTTCCTTTTAGGTTAAAATAAGGTATGGGCTTTGGCTTTTCATCGAGTTTCACCAAACATGGTAGGTAAAAATAATTCTTTCCAGACTCTGGAAAGTTATCAGAGATTTCATCATTACCAAAACAAAAACTAAACAATAAAATCCACAAACAAAAACAAACCAAAACTACAACAACCAAACCAAACCAAAACAAACAAAAAAGTATTTTTGTCCGGTATCCCAATGAGCATTTTAATAGCATAAAAGAAATGAATTTTGAGTTGCAAGCTAGATTCCATTTTAAAGTGAAATCCTGAGGCTGGAGAGGGATGGCTCAGTAGTTACGAACACTGGCTGTTCTTGCCGAAGACCCAGATTTGAATCCCAGTACCCACATGGAAGCTCACAACCATCTCTAACTCTAGTTCCAAGGGATGCAACACCCTCTTCTGTCTTCTGCAGACACTGCATGACAGGGGTGTACTTACAAACCTGTAGGCACAACACTCATACACATAAAAATAAATAAATCAAAACAATTTTCAAAGTGAAATTTTTGGGCTGCAGAGATGGCTCAGTGGTTAAGAGCACTGACTGTTCTTGCAGAAGATCTGGGTTTGAATCCCAGCACCCACATGGTCACTAACAACTGTCTGTACTCCAGTTCCAGGGGAATCTATAAATATGAATTATTTACTTGAGAAAAAATTGACTTTTGATTTGGAGTAGCAATGTATTTATGATGATTTTTCTTATATACACACATCTTATTTTTTAACTTTAAGTTTTAAATTAACCTTAGGCATTCAATAATTGTCATATTTACTGAGCATTCAGGGAATACTAGTAAACTAAAGTACCATTGCATAGTCAGCAAAAGGCATCCCTTCTGTTGATGGTCATAGTTCATATGTGGAGCCCATGGCTTTTTAGCCCTCACTAAGTCCCTTGTCACAAGCATCTGTGTGATACACAAATACAAATGCAGATAGCAGGCTTCACTCGCATAAGTATTCTGAAGTACTTATCATTTCAAAGATGAAAGAAAGCATCTCCAGGATCATAAAACTAAAATAATATAAATTTAAAAATTGCTAGCTTGATTTTCAACTGGTGCATATATTTGTGTCATCATTAGGAGAAAAAAAAAACCTGTGCATTAAACCACTGGCACAAACATATAAGAAAAACTCCAGAATGTCAGGTACAGAAATCTACAAGGATGGAATTTAGTTAGCAGATGGCAGGTAAATGTGCGCCTGCTTTCTAGGTGACAAGCAAGCAAACCGAAGCATAATAAATATATAATCATAGTAATTGGTTTTCCTATTTGAATTCTTCATATCTGGCAACTTAATGATTCTTATAGCTATTATAGAAGATCAAACTACTTTATGATAAATATAGATTGCTATGTAGGCTATTGTATTATACTTAAACCACACTATTTCTATCTTTACTTTTGAAAATCTGTTAACTGACATAGAACACATGTTTAGGTTAACCCTTGAGGTAAAAAAAAATAGGCACATTTTTCCAAAAAGAAATAAATAAAACTACTTTTTTTGAGTAACTATTTTAAAAAACTTAATAAAACACATTGCAAACCTTCCTGAAGCAATAGTGTTTGGGTTTTTTTTTGTTACTGAATATTACAAAGTACAAAATATATATACTCACTGAATTGGCATTTGTTGGGTTTGGCCAAGGTCTACCACCACCTGGACCCCTACAAAATGATGTGATAAATTAAATTTTAATTTGTACCTCAATTGCTTCACAATAAATAACATATTATAGAATATTAATGTTTATAATTCAGTTACCATGCACAATTTTAGTTGAAGTACTGAAATTACTTGTATTCATCTTAATAGATTTTTCTTGAATGAAAAAATTATCCCACGAAAGTCTTGTTTAGTTAATTTTATTATTATTTATTTTATAAACAAAATGGTAATCACCTATAACAGCATATACATATACCTAAAGCATTATACTAGTTTGGGAATAGAACAGTAATACACATAATCTATGACATCAGTAAAAGAGCCACCTATATGTCATTCAATATGAAATTATTTGTAAAATGTTTATGTAAAAGTATCACTTTTAAACTACAAATGAATGGTATCTAAATTTGATTTTTTTAAAAAAGTTACTATTTATTATGTATCAACTTATCTTTTAGTACTAATGATGGTTTAGTTATTGCTGAGATGAACTGAATCTTGTATTAGTCTTATTCCCAATATCATTGAGACAGAAAGCTTTCATTGCATTATTAAGCTATCAGCATAGTCATCTGTCAAAAGTCAGTGTAGCCTTTAAGAGGGTGAATTATATGGTATGTGAATTATATCTCAATAAACCTTTTATTGATATAAAATACTTGTTTTCATAATTTTAATTGAAGGTAGTAGAAAAAGTAAATCTTGAAAAAAAAGGTTATCTATGCCAGTGCCTGCCAATATATTACATCATTTTAGGGTCAAATTCATAGAGATCTGCCTGCCTCTGCCTCCTGAGTGCTGGGATTAAAGGCGTGTGCCACCACGCCTGGCAAGGCATGAAGAAAGCCAAAAGTGTCAGTTATAATTATTTGTTTTAAAGATAATAACTTATGAATTCTAATTAAATTTACTAATTTCAATGAAAATAAAAATGTGTTTTATTTTTATATTTAAGTTTACTTTTGATTTGTTAGGGGCTAATAATTATCCTTTCTGACTGGAACTTTATTCCTGGAAAGTTTTCCTGTCAGAGGAAAGTATTTGCTATGCTTAAATATGTATCTACATGTTCACTGTCTCTAAGAGAATCCTAATTAATACAAATGAAAAATGATAGAAGACTCCAAAGATTATTATTATTATTATTATTATTATTATTATTATTATTATTATTATTATTATTATTATTATTATTATCCAAATAGCAATTATTATTATTATTATTATTATTATTATTATTATTATTACTAGGAATATCAATGGGGCTAGAGAAATGGCTCAGCTGTTAGGAGCACTGGTTGCTCTTGTAAAGGAAACAGGTTCAGTTCTCAACACACACAAGGTGGCTAACAAATGCCTGTAACTCCAGTTCTAGGGAATCCAATGCCCATTTCTTGTCTTTGTGGGCACTGCATGCACATGGCGCACATACATACATGCAGGCAAAACACTCACAGATATTTAAAAAAAAGGTTTAGAAAAGCATTTCAGTCATATTTTTAGTCTTTATAGTTAGGGAATTAACAGTACTCATGTAAATGCGTAAGCATACATATGAGAAGAAACTAAAAAATTTTAAGAGACTTTCAAGTCACATAAAAATATTTTTTTTACTGTGTACCAACAAAATCAGGTTTATGTGAAATTGGCTGTGTGGCCAAATATAACACAAGTACTATATCAAATGATATTAGATATGTTGTCATTTAATGATAGCTTGGTTGATCATGGTATTCAAACATATTGAATTTTAAAGTGAGAATCTCAGGTAAAATATATTTCTTCAACCTACTGGTTAAGAGCTTTAGCTTTTGACATAAGCATAAAATATCATGCAATCCTTTTGTAGCAACCATTAATAAAAGGGTAAGCCTTTGAGGAATTTAGGAGTCAGGCTTCATGTCTATCCATTTTTATTTTAAGAGTTAAAAAGATGTATTAGAAAAATTTGACCTACTTTTCTAACTTTGTTCTGTTAGTTTTGAGTCTGGCTGGTATCCACTTATTAACCTATTTTCAGTTTTAGTGAAAATTGCATCCTACGAAAATGGTCTTAAAAACTTAAAAAACCCTACATACATCAAAAGAACTTATTTCACAGTACATCTTCAGTGCTACCAAATGATGGCAGAGTTCTTTCATTCAATATGTAAGGAGGCAAAAACACCAACTGATAGAAAGCACATTTGAGGAGATACAAACCAACATGGAATACTTTATTTCTGATAAGCTTGCTTTAGACCACATCACACTAGTGATCCTCTGGTGAATTAATAAAAGTCATTAATAATATCTATGGATCTTTGAGGGAAACTGGATAGTATAAAATAAATAAAAATTCCTTAACAAATTGCAATCTATTTGACAACAAAACAAACTACTCTCTTTGAACTGGAAAGGTCATGCCAATAAAACAAACAGCTTCAGCTTAATCCTCACCCAGATACATCTTACTTTTTCAGAAGAGAATTCATCCTATATGGCAGTTCTTTAATCTAGAATACACTATCAAAGAGAATACTTGTGTGTTGACAGTGGTCCCAAAACAGCAAAAGTAAACATATGTGTTTATGGGCATTCATAACTCCATTATCAGGCATCAAAATAAACCTATTAACATGAGCAAAAAATTCTCAGTTAGCTACTTCTTGAGAGTTAGAACATGGTTCTGGTGTTAGCATCGATTTATTGATTCATGTAGACTATATAAAGACTACGTAATTATTAAAAAGAACAGGCTAAAAATTGTGATTTATGGCACTTAAAATGGAAAAAATATTGAAGGTTGGAAAGGAGGAAGAACATGAGATTATGTCATGAAAATGAAATACAAGCTGCAGCTCATGTTCAGTTCATTTTCATCCTGCATAGAGATGGAGTTGCTTAGAATGTTTTACAAATCAATGTGATTTCAGAAGACAGAAAAGAAAGAACACTCCACTAAACAGTAATAAAACATTTTGCTTACATGTTCATTCCAGGCATTCCAGGGCCACCTAAAGCATTCAGTGGGGGTCTCATTGCACCTCCATAGTTCTGTAATGATAACCAAGGGTCAGACTACCACAAAACAAAAAAACAAAACCAAAGAGGAGGGGGGAAAGAAAGGAAAGCAGGTTAATGATTTCCCTACGTAACTTCTGACTGGATAAGGCCTGTGTAATTCATTCTCTGTAGGGTCCACTCTTGTATTTTTGCTTCTAATTTAACAATTACTTTGGTTCATTCCATTTAAAAACTACATGAATATGGACAGTCATTAAAGAATGTTAAATGATCAGGAATGAATGAAATTGTAATATTTAGCACATGTTTATTACTTTTCTAATATTTGTACATCAGTAACTTTTAAGAATAAAGCATAATTCTTTATGATTTATTCAAAAGATTGAAACTATCAGAAGTAGAATAAGGACATGAAGTAAAAAGAAATATAACAGGTAAACTCAGCCCAAGAAAGTTAATTATAAACTCCTATTCATAAAATAAGACTTCCAACATGAGAATGCACTAATACATACAAATACACATACTATATGAGACCCACAGTATAGTGAACATGTGCATGCATGAATTATATGACCCAAAAAACTTCAGGCAATATCTACTATATACATTCAAAGAGATGAAAATCAGTTTGATGCTTTAATATACATATTATTTTAGTTGACAAAAGAGCCCAAATGCTAATTTTGTAATTACCATAATACACCTGATACTACCAAATGACTTAGACATTTGGTTTTCTGATAGTCTCCCTTCTACTCTTCTGAGTATTTTTCAATTTACTTTGCTGACTCTTGATTTTGCTGACTCATTAAAAAAATCACTTTAAATGTTGCTTTTCTTCAAGTTTTAGCTACAGTATTCTTTTCAATAGATACACATTTATGGGTACCTTATCTGCTACAATTTATTGAAAAGAAAATTTACATTGACTTCCAAATCTATTTTGTCATGTCTCACTAAGTTTGTAGATAGCTCATAGATCAAACTTCACAGTGGCAGGTATTTTCTGGCAGCTACCTCATGCTCAGCACACTTACAAGTGAACATTTTCTGCTCATGGCTTGATTCTTTATATCTATTCTTCCTTTAATTCTATGGCATCATTGACTACACAGTAGTCCATGCTAGCATTTCAAGAGGTTCCTTGATGTTCTTTTCCTTTTCTTTCAATTCCCATATTTGGTCAGTTGTCAAAGTTTATTGGTTCTACCTGTGAAGTAGCTCTTAAAATAGTCTTCTCCTTCCTATCTTTAACCTTTGTCATGTGCTGGAGCTACTATACTATCTTAATTGGTTTCTGTTTTAGTCTTTCTCTTTCTTAATCTATTCTCCATATTGCCTCAAGTCATTTTTCTAAAATTCAGTATTAACCATGTCACTTAAAAGTGATGATGACCCAGACTACCTGTCAAATAAGCCTACACTCCTTAACATATCTCCATGAGATTAATCATGACCCAGGCCCAGCCTACACCTCCTGCCTTTGTTTCCTACAATTTTCAACCTCATCTTCTGCTCTGATACATTTTCTAGCCTCTTGGATTTTTCCAAATTAAAAAAAAAACATTTTATGCTCATGCTAATTCATCTTACTGGGACATTTTTGAGTAGCTATTAAGATGACAAGGAAATAAATCAACATAAGCAGGTCCATTAACTCTAGAAAGTAAAACATACTTGATAAATAAAATTAAATTACCTAGTTACCTGCTATTCTTACTGTTTATTTGCTTTCAATTTAAGGAAATGTTTTACACATCTGAGTTTAAGTTATGGGATAGGTGAACCATTTCTAACCACACTTGAGGCATTGCTTAAAAGGGTGGTGAATGGCTTTAGTGACAGCAAAGGTAGTAATTAGCAAGGGGTTCTGGAGTGAAACATTAGTTATGGAAATGGAAACTATAAATAAGTCAGAAATGTTTCACAAGGAAAATGGAGCTACCTTTTCTCCTCACTTCTAAGTCTTAGAAAATCTAATATTTTGTTTTATCAAGGAAAACATTAATTTTCCTTAGAGTTCTGCACATAGAAATACATTGATTTGAGTCTCTATTGCCATAGCCCTATTCCTTTCCATCACCCTGTCTTTTTGTAAGACAGTTTCCCTATGTAGTCCAGGTTGGCCTTGGACTTACATTCCTCTTGCTTCAGCCTTTAGCATGTTGGGATTATAGGTGTGGACCACAATAGCTGCTCTTCGTTTCTTTATATGGGTCAAAGACTCTCTAAACTTTATTTTTCTTACCTGTGTGGTAACAATATTACTTTCCTTATAGACTTTGTTGAGGATAAAATGAAATATAAACCATCACAATGCTTAATGACATAAAAGAATGGCACTACTCAAGAACTGTAGCTATTAATTCTTTCTTACAGATATTAATAAAACATACACGAGTGGTCGTTCACTTAGCTTCCCATGCATACTAAACACTAACAGAATTACTTCATGTGATTTCTCCTTGAGGTATTATATGGAGTACATACATATAATGTTTTCTAGGCTTCTGTATTATATAATAGTTTTTCTAGATGCAGTTGCATCACCTGCTAAACAGTAAGTGCCTTAAAGACACAGTATCTGTTTTATTCATCTTTGTAAACTCAATGGTCAAGTATGATGGCTGACACATAGTAGGTCTTCAATAAATGATAGGCTAATTAAACTGAGTTGTCATAAGAAATGATACGGAATTAGTCACTATAATATATACTTTACAGATACAAAATATTTTCATCTTGTGAATAATATTCTAAAGCATAAAGAAATCAGGAAGAAAAGAAAGAATGGAAATAGGCTTTCCAAGTGGTATCAACAAAGGCAGAATGGGAAAAGCTAATTTAGAATCACTGAATTTTAAAGCTGATGGCAACTATACAATTCCATCTGGTCTAATCTCTCTTCCAATGCAATGTTCCTGACAAAATGGCTGTTCAGACTCTGCTTGGAAACTTTACAAAATGTCTTTCTTGATTGGACAGTTTAATTTCTATGAAGCTTTGTGCTATACTGAGCTAAATCTGAAACCTATGCTGTATTTGAATATATGGAATCGGTTTACTCTCTCTCTCTATGAAAGTCATATATTGCCATTTCACCATTCCTATACCCTGTTTCTGATTTAGAATCTTCCTTGTATGTAGCTTACTTAGCCTTCAAATTTCCAGAGAAACCTGAAATGCTTATATAAGTTAAGTGAAAAATTTTGCTAATTCTATGGAACTTGCAGAATTTAAGCACACAGGTTAATTAACTATCTCTCAGTACAGAAGCAAGTAAAAAAATGATTTCAAATTAGTATCAGGATAAAAATAATGTTCATTGTCTGTTGAAGGTATATTGATATCAATTTAAAAATCATGTGTTATTGCTCTTCTTAGAGCTAAAACAGGTTACAGAAGGAGACAAATATGCCTTGAGTGGAGGCAAATTTTTATGTCTTTATCCATGCAATAAATGATAATGATATGTTTACTATGTTCTGTGTATACACTCTGATTAAACCACATTTTCAAGAATCATGACAGTAGGTATATTTGTTTCAGACTTCAGTTATTCCCATAGATGCCTGACATCTGCCTTAAAATTAAAAATCTAGAAGTAATGTTTATGAAAAAGGTATGTATATTTTGTCTGTGCATAAGCCACACTCCGGAGGTTGTTTCTATAATACAACTAAAAAAAGACAGAAGCAGTGTGTTATTGGGTGGCATCTGCATGGTGAAATGTCTTTTGTGAGAACTGTTTTCCCATTATCTTTCAAGAAGCACAGCTTATCTTTTTAAGTGTATACAGGTGTTATGATGTAACTAGGTCATGAGATTCTTCCCATTCCAAATGATTTTTAACTCCAAGTTTTCCCACTGTACCATTCTTATGACTCCTGCTTTTGCTTAAATGCATGATATTTACAATTGATTTTCTTTAACTCCATTTTGTGTACTTATTTTAAAAGATTACAGTAGGTATTTCTGGTTTCTGAGATAAATTTACACCACGACATTATATTTCCTTCACACTACTTAGAAACAAATAGCAAAAATACTACAAATCCAAATGGGAGAAATAAGATACTCTCTGTGATTGTGCAAGGAACACATTCCTACCAGCCTAAGAAGCATAGTGACTAAAAGTTATCAACAAGATTACTAACCAGAGGCAAGTTTTATTATTTGCTGCAATTTATCTATAATATAAAATACATAGTTGTTTATAACATAAAGCATAGAAACCAGTATGCTTTGGATTTCAGAATTTTCAAATGAGACCTATATATTCAATATCATAGCCCCAATGCCTATCAATACTTTAAGGTATATAACAAAAACTAGCAAATAATACAGTCTTTTAAGATGAAGGCAAATAGCTCAGCATTGAACTTTCTGTGTTGATCAGTTACCTGTGGTCCTAAGGGCACCATTCCTCTTGGAGGAGTCATTCTCTGCATTGGCCCACCCATATTTGGATGTCCTAAAAGAAGTATTAAGATATTAGCAATGGAATACCCATAAGTACTGGAGTAGGTTAGCTTCCTCCTTGCAGAGTGCAACAATGCCTTGTGTAACAAGTATCTGAGTGACTGCCACCATCTTATTTTGGCTTTTGTAGCCATTTTTTCCACCTCTGGCCATCATTTACTACATATTCTTTATTGATGCCTTGGTTCAGATTTTCTCTCTACCCTGTGGGGAATTACTTCTTTCACAGCCTTGGAATAGAGCTTTAGCTAGCTGTGATATCTAAATACCTCTAAGGAAGGACCACATTACTGGGACTATTGAACTAATGAAGTTACTGGTTAGTTAGTGCTTGCTCCCCCTATCATCTTTCATGTGCACTAACCCTCTATCTGAAAAAGTCGGAGGCGATAATGAATGACATGGTCACTAACGTTCTACTTATCAGAAGTCATAAAAGATTTCAGGAGTTACTAATTAAAATGTGAAATTTTGGACATTGAGGTATTTTGGTTTTTATGTCATCTCTGTCTTCATGATCAGGTATAATTAAGTTAGCTGAAAATATAAATCATTTAGCCATGTTGCCTGTGAAATTACATTTGGAGAAATTGTGGAACATTTTATAAAAATTATATTTTTCTTAAAATAAAAAATTTCCTCATTGGTTCAGCACATCAATTTCACTTCTACTTTAATTACCTTGTTGTCGTGTTGGGTCCATTCCACTGGGCAGTAATGGCTGACTTCCTGGGACACCTCCAAGTGCCTATCAATTAGTAAAACAAAAATGAAAAGCAATATTGTAAATATTTATAAAACATGTGCTTTAAACATTTCCTTTTGAAGTTTCTACAACTGAGTGTTTCTCATGATCTTTATACATAATATTAATTTTATCAAATTTATACTTTTACATCCTTAATATACATTCTTCGTTATAAAAGAAATTCTACTTTATCCAACATTTGTAGATAAAATATTTTAGAAAACATGTCTACACAGCAGAAGCCATCTTATTCCCTCCTCAGAAGTATAATGCCATTTAAAAAACTTAATTTGCTAAGGATATTGAAATAACTAATTTTCCTTTTTTTAAAAAAATATTTTATTGTGTCATGCAATGCCTGCGGAGGACAGAAGAGGCTGTCAGATCCCCTAGAACTGGAGTTATGGACAGTTGTTAGCGGCCATGTGGGTGCTGGGATTTGAACCCGGGTCTTCTGCAAGAACAGTCAGTGTTCTTAACCGCTGAGCCATCTCTCCAGCCCCTAATTTTCCTTTTTAAAAGTAAACTATTTTGAAAATGTTATTATCTGCAAAAATATATAGACATAAAAACTCAGACTATTCAGAAGGAATTAGAAAGGGATAAGTAAAAAAATAAAATCATATCAAATTCTACAATCTATAGATACCATCTATTATCATTTCAGTATTGACAGTATTTATATGCACAAAAGATATTAGAAATAGAATAATATCAAGCAAATGGATCTGGTATATTTGTATATACATATATACACATTACATAATCTATGATATATGGATCTATCACTATGCATTTTGTAACCAGATATATCAATTATACACATTGCTATATATAGTAATAGAGAACAAAATATAATAATATACAATGCATTCATTTATTCAATACTTTATGCTTATTTCTTTCTAGTATCTTTTGTGGTTGATCTTGTTCACTCAACTATAGTTTGCTAAGTGTAAAGTTGTCTTTTTTTAATATTCT